TACCTACCTACCATACATCCAATTTGAATAAAGATATATCTATTTCTGATATCGTAGTAATTTTGAGACTACAAGACCTTTAATTTTATACATTTATTCGTTCATGTCTCACCATTACGAGTCACAACTCTGTCCCTTTTATCGGTGGTAGGAATGATAAAGACAACAAATAAAAGGCAATAAGTACATTTGCTTAGTATCGACGTTCGACCACATATGTTTGATCGATACGTTCCGTACACGTAAAGATACGGACTGAATCACTCCGCTGACCTTTCCATACTTATAAAGCATCATTACTAACGCTTATATGAACGAAACATGAAGGTTTTCAGAAAGCCAAAGACGTTCGATCTGATTCCATTTTTACATTTTGAATCATCATCATCATCGTCAGCCTATTAATGTCCCCACTGCTGGGGCACAGGCCTTCCCTATGGATGGAATAGGGAGATTGGGCCATGACCCACCACGCGGGCCCAGGGCGGGTTGGTGGGTGCTAGCGACTGCAGATGCAGCCGGGACCAACGGCTTAACGTGCCTTCCGAAGCACGGAGGAGCTCGAGATAGTAAATTTTCGGTCACCCATCCAATGACCGACCACTGCGAAAGTTGCTTAAATTCAACGATCGCAGCTGAAAGCGCTAACCACTTGCGCCATCGAGCTCCTCGACATTTTGAATAGGATGTTTTAAAATAAAAGCTCAATACCTATTTGATACTCAATACTTATTTTACCTATCTGGCATTATGTGATGAAAGTTGAGCTCAACACTTGTTTGCAAGTTTGTTGTCAACTTTCAATTTGACGACATTGTGTGAAATAAAACAGGGAGATAAAAGCAGTCCTCGCTGAGTTTCTTGCCGACTCTGCTCAGTACAAGGTCTCCCGCCGTAGTTTTGCGAATCGATGGCGTAGTTTTCCACTTTCCCATGTGCTTGTAAAAGCTTAAACTGAATCAATGATTTTTGAATTGAATTGAATTGAATAGTTTTGAGGACTTCTAATCAAAATTTTCTGATATGATGCAATAGTGTTTGACGGCCGCCTGGACTTTGCCAGTGGTCCTAACTCTGAATTCAGCTGCCACCGGGAGTGAAAATCCTTCCCGTGCCGTTTCATATCTGTCATGGATATTTATATATACTTATTTAAGTACTTTATCTAGCACCGATAGTACAGGCTATGCATAATATGGGGCTAAATGTTTTTGGAGTTTACTTCTTAAGAATCGATTTGCATATATAAGGGGCCCGGTATGAGAAAAATGTGAGGAGTGAAATCTATCGACGAATGACCTCGTTACGTTTTTACTGTTTACGCTGTAGCAGCCGTAGTGCTACACCGTAGCACAGTATCGTAGCGTACCTTTATTTATGCACATCTGAAATTGACTATTGTAAAAAGTTTAATGTAAAATATTTCGTCGATTAGTTATAATAAATGTATATGAAATGAATAAATATATATTTATATATGTATATTATTTTCATTAATTTGTTAATTTACCCTTTCATACAGTATCAATCTTTTTTAAGTTAAATAAACTCATTTTGCGTCTGGTTAGACTATCGAACTTAAGAAGTAAACTCCAGTCGTGCGTCGGAGCTGACACACACATTATTTTTCTATAAAATGAATTTGCCGGATCCAACCAATGTTGACATCGATATTGTATTACCGAGCCACCTCTGTAATTTTTGCTCTTCCTAGAGTTTAAAAGTTCTTGTGGAATTGTAGTTCCAGAACTCTTGTATTACAAGCATAGATGCATATTAAACACATTTTGAGAGCCGGTGGTGCCTTAGGCTCTGAGTCAAATTCGCGCTATTACTAGAGCCCAAATATTTTGCGATTCAAATAAGAATAGGAAAGCCAATGACCTCCACCTGTCAAATGTCGTTTGAAAAGTACGGTTTACAAAGAAATCTTGAAAACCTTTCTTAACACTCAGCTAATTCTAGAATAAAAACCATTTGTAAGCAAACAATAACAAATATTGATAAATAATATTGGCTGATATTTTTTTTCATATATTGAGCTTTGGTTATGAATGTTTGTTATTCTAAATCGTCAACCAAATGTCACTTTAAATTGCGTTCAGTAACTCGATTTAAAACTTTCGTTTACATGAAGGATGCATGTTCGTATGTGACTTAGTAATAGTGCATGATTATTCATAACTACTCCGGCGGTAATGCAAAGATGAGCGGAATTGAAGAGCTTAATTCTGAAATAATAGTTATTTATTATACAAGAGTGGAAAGTTCCTTTTTAACCGCGTGCTCGATTTGGATGACCGAGCAAGCGAAGGATTCTAAAGTTGAATCACGAGCGCAGCGAGTGATTCTAAATTAGAATCCTGAGCGTCAGCGAGGGAAACAAACGAGCACAAGGTGAAAAATCTTTCCACTCGAGTGCAATACGTAACTTTTCATCCCACCTCAGCGAGGAAATGACAAAATGAAAAAGAAAACAATTTATAATGACAAAATATTTAAGCAATAAAACGTGAAAAACTAGAATGGCGCGAAGCACGCAAATAAAACAAAGAAACCAAGAAGGTTCCAAATTTAAAATTTTTCACAATTTAAAAAGTTCTAATCATAAATTTGGCACCATAGAGGTTACATTAAATAGGTTTAATGACGTTTTGAATTTACAATTATATTGAGTACTCATTATATGTGATGTTCTAAATTCAAATCTACTTTGCCGCTCAAGCGAATAAAATAGAATTTTCCAGCCAGATTTCGAAGCGCAAAATTACACTTTCCGAGGTGGTGGGATGAAAATATTATTAAAAATCGGTTGTTTTCTTTTCTCAAACTTAGTAAATAAATTTTATTACAAAAAATCTAATGTTTTTTCTCATTTAATCTTAGTAAATAAAACTTAAATAAAATTTTTTTTGCTCACTCTAACTATTTCGTTCGAATTGATGGCTGACATCACAATATGGCGTCCAGTCGGTCCTATTCTTAGTTGAACCGCATTATATATTTTTTTCATTCGTAGCCATACAGTTCGCTAATTCAAATCAAATAAATTTAAAAGACAATGATATAGAATACTAAAAAAATATTAGAATCAGTTGTGCACCCTAACACTAATAATCTCCACAAAATCCTATGGTTGACTGGTAGAGAATGCCTACGGCATTAAGTCCGCCATTGTACATGAAGAATAAATAAATAAATAAAATATAAAGGCCGAATGAAAGATTTAGGTTTATAAGCAGTTGCCGATGGCATAGAAGATTCACCGTGGTACTACATGCTATAACCCAAAGATAATCTATATAATATATAAAACTCAAAGGTGACTGACTGACATAGTGATCTATCAACGCACAGCCCAAACCACTGGACGGATCAGGCTGAAATTTGGCATGCAGGTAGATGTTATGACGTAGGCATCCGCTCAGAAAGGATTTTGATCAATTCTACACCCAAGGGAATAAAATAAGAAATGAAAGTTTGCATGAAACTTTGTCAATTTTAAACCGATCGGGTTGAGACTCTGCATGCAGGTATAAGAAGAAATTGTGTATAATACAAGCCTGAGAACAAAAACTGTAGTCTACACTTCAGCTCTACACTGAAGCGAAGCGAGGACGGGCCGCTAGTATTAGAGAAAGCAGTTGTAAAGCTCATGACTGTATTTCTATACGGGTGGTGTTTTATTATATATAAGACGCACCAAGTTGACCCACTCCACGTAAGGTGATGATGGAGAGAAGTGTGTTTTTCCAGACATCCTGTACCCTTAGTACGAGTTTTACAATTACGAAAACTATGATAGTTTTCGTGAGCTCGCACTCGTACTAAGGGTACTGATTTTATTGTTTTCGTTTCAATACAAATAAACAGTGTTTGAATTCTATCATTAAATCGTTTGCGTCTTCTTAAATTTTAAGAATATTTGGTTACTTTTCACCAAAATGGACATAGAAACATAATTTACAATTACGAAAGAAAACTATCATAGTTTTCGTGAGCACCATTTTTATGTACAACTGCTCAAGATGGTGGTGCACAGCGTTGAGGTTAGAATGCAGTCCGCGTATGTTGCAGAACACGACCTCAAACAGCGTTGAAGGCGTGGGGGTGTGCACCACTGTACATAAAACTTTGTTTTAGGGGCTGCCATGATGGAGGTGAAAAAGGGACGTAAAAATTTGCGTGTGAACTCGCTCATATATGCAGGATGTTACAGAATTCCGAAATAAAATTTGTAGGTATGTATTCCGAAATAAAAATTTGTAGGTATCTGAACGGGGCGCAGGGGCGCCTGGGGGAGAGAGGGGGGTCTGTTTAGGTAGTAGTAATCGTACGCATTTATAGGGTTGTCATAGGCAGGTGTAAAACGATATTTTTATTAATTTAATTAGAAAATAAAAGTGGTCTGAAAGGCGTCAATCTTTCGTAGGTAATTCTATACAAGGAACACAACCAAACACTAAAGTTTTACTTTTGTCACACCCTGTATAACTACACACGTCATCAAATAACGGACCTGTAAAACGGATCGCTAATTATTTGTACCATAACCTGTAGATACCTGGAACTTTACTAGCAGAGACCACGACACTTGTAGTAATATTTCACAGTTGTGTTCTCTGAGGAGGAGCTCGATGTCGCAAGTGGTTAGCGCGTTCGGCTGCGATCGTTGAACTTAAGCATCTTTAGCAGTGGTCGGTCATTGGATGGGTGACCAAAAATTACTATCTCGAGCTCCTCCGTGCTTCGGAAGGCACGTTAAGCCGTTGGTCCCGGCTGCATCTGCAGTCGTTAGCACCCACCAATCCGCACTGGGCCCGCGTGGTAGGTCATGGTCCAATCTCCCTATTCCATCCATAGGGAAGGCCTGTGCCCCAGCAGGGGGACATTAATAGGCTGATGATGATGTCTTCTCTGAGGTGGGAGTTACTTCCCCGGTGAGTGCTCCGAATTCTAGGGGGAAATCTATAATGCTATTTTCAAAATAGTTTACTGACCTCGCTGCCATCCTGCTGAGCGTTGCAGTTGCTGATGTTGAGAGTTCCGGAGATGAAATCGTTCTGTACGTCCACGATCAGGAAAGCGCTCACAGGACGCACTATCTGCAATAACAGCGCTGATCAGGGGGCCATTCGCCTAACGGAAATGCTTTGGAAAACGCTAACGCTTTCGATTTTATTTTGTTATTTCTGACCGCCGAAAGTTTTCAAATACCTCACGCTCATTTTTTTTAATATTGTTATTAACAATGCAAAAGAAAAAAAACGCGAGGCATTTGAAAACCTCAGGCGGCTAGAAATTACAAAATAAAATCGTAAGCGTTAGCGTTTTCCAAAGCATTTCCGTTAGGCGAATGGCCCCCAGTTGTCATGATCATTATTCTATACTTTATTATAAACCTATTAATGACCCGGTCAAACTGTTCGGAAGCTGTCGACTTGATACTTCGCAATTTTATGCTAAAAAGATCTCTGCTATGATGGCAATGCGGAAGTCAGGTAATTGCCCGACTTGCATTGAGTCGGGCATGCTCTCTCGCCCCGGCTACACTTTGCTACAACGTGTAAATGTTTAACGTTTTTCCCGTCAAAATTCGTGTTTTTAGATAGTAGACATGCAGCAATGTAATTGCAGCATTACTGAATATTTTTTGCCTAACCTTTACTGTTTATGAAGCGTACGTAACGGAAGCTGTGGCTTTACTCCAAAGAATTACATCGAATGCGTGTTCCCTCCCTCTTACAACCTGGGATCCTTTAAAAGAGGCGTGAAGAAGCTGGTGTGGCAGGTAGAACTGCTGTATCAGCTATCTTCGCGTCAGGACTTCACCTTCACTTAACATCAGGTGGGGTGGTCATATGTCGGACCTATCTATAAAAAAAAAACAGCCTCAAACAAACTCTTAGTCCAGAACAAGGTGCGGCGTTTTTTCACGCCTGAGCAACAGTGCTTTTTATAAGAACAAGACGCAAGTTCGGTTTTGCGTAGCATATTGCTCGCACATCAGGGATAGCTCCGCCAAGTTCTTGCTCTAGGCTTTGGATAGGTTAAATTAGGGTAAGCGGCGCGCGATACCACGGCGAGTGTTCTGCGCGTTCTATCGTCTGTACTACGACGAGTGTTCTGAGGAGTTATTCTCCCTTATTCCAACTTCTTTCCTTCAGAGCAGAGGACCACGAGCGCTAGCCTACTTTGCCATCGACTTACTTTCGTTACTATTCCAAGGCGAACAATGAAATTTGGTGACTCCTTTTTTTAATGCGCTATTTATAAATGGAAACTTTGCCCGCTCTATAATAATATATTTCCTTTCTAAAACTAAGATTCTCATTTCTTGTATTCATATAAAATTCCATTGTGCATAATGTCCAGTGCCGTCTTTGACCTATTGGAGGCCCTGGGCATTTTAGGATAATGGAGCTTCTATGACTTCCGTTTGGTGATTTAACAGGAACTAGGGACTTTGTATTTGATCTGAGGGGGGCCCCTATCGATCGCGGAACCCTGGGCACTTGCCCATAGTGCCCACTGAGAAAGACGGATCTGATAATGTCACACGCCTCCCTTCATGAGCAATGTGCTTTAGAAATACAATCTTAAACCTTATTTAAGAGATTCTTACAGTATTTTTTTCTGCACTCACCACTTTAATCCAATGGTTCCAGCAGAAGGTGAACTCCTCCTTATCGATGAACCCGTCACCGTTCTTGTCAAACACTTGGAATATGTGACGCGCACGTTCCTCCGCCAGCGGGTAGATGTGGCCCTTGTCGTTGCGGAACAAAGCCTTGCATATCAGACGGAACTCTTCGAAGTTCAGCTTGCCGTCTCTGCACAAAGTAAATATTGTCACAAACACTCTCGAAACGGAACCGCGAAAGTGCTAGAGATCGAATGTGCCAGAGCACCGCGGGTCACGATAGAGGTCGAGTAATGCGGCTCATTCTAAAATGAGCATAATGCAGTTCGGCGTAAGTTAGAAAGTGCAACGACATCTGCATTTGTTTACGAGTTATGCGTGTTACCTGCGTAGGTATTTCGTACTCGCGGGTGCTAGCTTATTCTCAATTTAACAGGTTCTTTCTAGAATGCGTCGATCGGCGTATATAAGCGCGATTGGCGCCGCGCAGGGACAATTGAGTTTCAACAGCGATTTCGGAGCGAATCCAAAGGCGGTCGAAGTGCAACAAAAGTGTTCAAGTGCGATAGTTCAGAGACTTGTATAGTGAAATACATTGTTTAGTGAGTGTTTTGTAATTAACATTGTGTGAACTGAGTGGTGAATAAAGAACTGTCAAGCGTGAACTGGCATATAATTTCGAACCCCATCCCGACACGTAACAATATGATAACCGCTGCACACAGCCACTTGAATTGTGTTTTAAGTGTGATTAAAGTTTGTGCCATCTCGTTATTGCAATGAAATTATATAAAATAGAATACAGCATAAAACATACAATTTATATGTCATCTAAGAACTGCCATAACAGCGGAAGGACATAGAGCATTTTTCATTCAAAGAGAAGCACCTATGGGAGAAAGTTTGAAAGGATCTGGGATCCTTTAAAAGAGGCATGAAGAAGCAACATGCAGGCTGGCAAAGTGGGGATGGCTGGTGTGGCAGGTAGTACTGCTGTACCAGCTATCTTTATGTCTGGACTTCACTATCATTTAACATCAGGTGAGGCAAATCATTTATCGGACCTTTCTATATAAAAAGAAGTTACCCACACATTACAGAAGAACAGTGAAAAAGCTATATCTTTGGATGCTGTTGCTTCGGTTAGTAAGGTCAGAGTAAGCTTATTTTAGGAGCTCGATGGCGTAAGTGGTTAGCGCTTTTAACTTTTGTAGGGGTCGGTCATTAGATGGGTGACCAAAAATTGACTATCTCGAGCTACTCGAAAGGCACATTGTAGTCATTGATCACAGTTCTATCTGCAGTCATTAGCACCTACCCCTCCGCACTGAATGTCCCTATCCTCCATCCATAGGGAAGGCCTTTGCCCCAGCAGTGGAGACATCAATAGGCTGATGATGATGATGATAAAGCTTATTTCAATTTATACTGTATTTCAAGCTTGAGTAGACAAGGCAACCACTTACAATCAGGTGGGAAAACATGAAGGAATAGTTTTTTCAATTGAAACTTGCCAAAAATAATAATGGTTTTGTCAACATTTTAATTTTTTTGTTTTAAAATAAAAAAAAGAAATGTGATCACAGAATCAGAGAAGAATTTAATTTCAATCGCCATGTAATAAATTTGACATCTGTATCTGTTTTTAAATAAATAACATTTGTGAGCTTGTTTCTTCAAGCCTGAAACAAGTTACCAGGAAAAATAGTTTAAGGACAATCCAAAAGAAAAAAATTACACAAATATTAAGCACAGAAAGAATGTGCTGGGTTTTTTGATAATCCCACAGGAACAATCTTTTTTCCTTGTTGAAAAGTATTCTATGTCTCAATTCAGATCATTAACTATATGCATACTGAATTTAAACCAAACTTTCACATTTCTAATATTAAAATGTAAAAAACCAATATAAAAAATATGTAATAAGAATATGTCTATTGTTATGTCTAGTAAAAATAATAAAAAAAAAACCTTTTATTATCTGTGTTATGTATCTACGATTGTTTAAAAACCTGTAGAATTTAATTAATTAATGTGTTAATAATGTAACAAGTTATTGAAACTAAAAAAAAATATTATTATTGAAAATAAAAATTATTAATAATGTGCTCGTAAGTGGTTTGGACACAAAATTATTCTTATTTATTTAAAATATGTATGACCGAAATTTTAAGCCTACAGAAAGTTTCTTGAAGTTTAATAAGTAGTTTGCACAACTTTAATTGATTTTGTTTGATATTTGGTACTCTTGATTTTATTATCTTTATTATATTATATATATATACATTACTTTAGGCTGTTTATAAGAGTTATTATGTTAAACATACTTTTTATGTTTCGCACTGCATTCAAAATGTAGCAAAATCATGATAAACAAGGCACGAAAACCTTACACATTAAATATTGTAAGAATTATTTAAAAATAAGTTTTTAATAGGGGAAAGCACTTACAGGTAATTTAGTATTGTTTAAAATACAATTGGATTGACATATGGTCAAGAACTTTTAAACAGCAGTAATCATTTCCTGATTACTGCTGTTTAAAAGTTCTTTACCGTGTAGTGTATTATTTTAAGCAACTTTTTATGGGTATCTAAGCCAGTACGAATTTTTTTATTAATATATTGAAAGTGTGTTTGCTTAACTTCATGAATATTTAGTAGACCACCAAGAGTTACTTCTGAATAAACTAAGTTTCCATGAAGAACTTACCCATCCTTGTCAAACGTTTCATAGCACGCGTCCATATCGAACAAACAATTGTCGTTAACTGGCCCGCTGTTAGCAACCTCCGACATCGTTGGTTGGATCGAAATGAGCCGCCGGCTTTCGCGGCAGCCGTTTATAAAGCAATCCAACTTCATGTTGAACACTCAACTGCAGTAACCTCTTTAAATTCGTTTTCTCGTAAAAAACGGCAATTGTCAGATAAGTAACAGCATAACCACAAAGTTGATGATAGTTTCTAGTTTTTAATTCATTAATACAAAAGGTTTTTATACATATTCATTTATAATTTTTAAGTATAAGGTGAGATTCATAACATTTCTTACATTTCTGATTGAAATAGTGTTTTGACAATATTGACTGTCAAATATGACATTAACATGACAACAATGACCTTGGGCCGAACTTAGGGCCCGGCTACGTTCAGTATCTACCATAGATATAAGTATGCCGTATGTACACGCTATTCTGGTAGTTTTCCAATTACAGCACTAGAGCGCATTAGCGGCATAATGCTTAACGTTGAATGTTGCTGTAGTAGAGCAACGCTTCGCATAACCGAGCACTCTCAAAAGTAATGTATTCGTGTAATGCGTGCAATCGTACCAACTCAGTGAACAAAATTAACCAGTGTTTTTTCTTTAACTTGGCATTGATCGAAATGTTTTATTTATATATTATCGTTAGTATTATAATTTATTGTTGAAAAGTTTTTAAGCTTTCGTTTGATTGTAGTTTTTTTTAAATAATCAAAATTAATTCAAACTGTGTTAAAAAAAAATATAAGCATGGATGAAGGTACAAACATTGACTTTTTTTCAACACTGAACTTTGCGCATTTGAAAACTAATTCACGTTCCAATTAGGCATCAGCATGATTCGGCATTGTGCGCCACTAAGTCGCATTATGCTCTGTAATTAGAAAACTATCAATGGGAACATGCAGGGAACGAACTCGGATAACACGTTAATTCTGCTAACCTTGAAAAACTTTAGGAGAACGATTTGGCAAATAATCGATTTGCAACATAGATAATGATAAATTCCTTAAAGATTTGAGATCGGTAACTCGGGTTCCCTCCCTATTTGACTTTACCAGGGTGATTTTCCAATTACAGAACTTAATGCGACTCAGTGGCGCACAATGCCGAATTATGCTGATGCTTAATTGGAACGTGAATTAGTATTCAAATGCACCAGCAGAGTGCGCTAAGTTCAGTGTTAAAAAAAAGTCAATGTTTGTACCTTCATCCATATTTATATTTAATTTTTTAACACAGTTTGAATTAACTTTGATTATTTATGCCGCATAATGCGCTATAATGCTGTAATTGGAAAGCTACCCAAAAGACCAATTGGTCATGGAAGATTTCGTGAACATTTACACAGAATCAAACAGATGCAGATACTATAATACAAATAATGTTGAATCCTTGCAACATCTTATCTTGGACTGCCATGCTTTACTTATACAGAGGATGTTACTGATAGATGGCTTAATTCAGATCTATCAAAACTGCAGCATTCCTAGCCAATTGCCATCTATCTTCAAAAACACAAATACATACCCACCCATAATTACGTGATTAACAACTTTGAAGATATATAAATAAAACAAAGAAGCTAGAGATACTAACAAAAGGCCCAAATGGTGAAAACTACGGCCGTAAAATATGAATTAAAAAAAACAGAAGACCACAGACTACAGACAAATCACAGAAATTGACGCGCGGTGAGAATAGCGTTGCTAAAATTTTGGACTCAGCGTAAACGTTATTGTTATCAAATTACCCAGTACCTTTCTCACTTTAATGGCGTAGTGAGTGATGTGATGTTAATTCCATAAAAAGTCATAGTTACCTTTGACGTCCTAATATTTAGCGTCGTAAAGCTCGTCAGCGGTATGGTGATAGAAAAAGTGCATGGTCTTCAGACCACAAGCCTGAGCCTGAATGAGCGTTTCACTATGCTGGCAAATGCATCTCCTGCCCTGATGGTCAGGAGGCCTCGGCGCCGACCAAGCGTCGGTTCGTACTTCAACCAAAATAATAACTTCAGGAACCGTAACCTCATGGAGCAGATTGCCCGGCGTTTGGAAATGCAAGCGAAAAGAGTAACTATGCATTTTTTTTTAATATATTTTCTTGTATGAATATAATTATGTGATTCTACATTTACTAGGAATGTCTAACCTAACAACTTGTGATTGTTTTCATTTTTTATTATACCAATCCACAGCTACAAAATTAATACATGAACTTGTAAGTGTAAGTACTAGGTAGGGACACGAAAAAAGTATCGATACTTTGTGGTATCGAGTACTTTTCCTTTCGATACCGATACTTTTGTACTCGATACTTTGTATTCGATACTTTTACTTATTGAGTACTTTTTGGCAAGTAAGTATCGATACTTTTAAAATTTGGACAAGCGCCTCATATTGTTATGATATATTCAAATTCTTTCCAATCTGTGACTGTGTTTATTTTGCGCTTTGTTTTGTTTCATAGTTATTTATTTAGCGACCATATTGTTAGGAATTGTGATTGATAATTCGCCGTTTATTGTGCTTTTCGCTTGACTGCATTTGATGTATTCAAGTGTAACACTATTATTCTGTCTGTGCTGTGTATACCTATTTGAAACCACGGACCTGAAAAAAAGACGGACGTAACCTCTTCTATAATTATAATATTGAGTGAAGCATGCCAATGGCCGCCGTTAACTGCGTGTCAGATTCAAGTAACATTTTAATTATTAATGTGATATTAATGAACACTTTTTAAGTGTCAGAAATCACAGGTATTTTCTTTTCATTATATAATATAGCAATTTGTGAATTTATATGTCCTTTTACTGTTATTATACGTACTATAATAAAATTGGATTGTTTTTCTTTCAATTTTTAACCGGGGGGGGGGGGGGGGGGGGGGGTTGCTCATCGGGCCACAGAGGATCCGATAAGGCCCTATGAAATGTACTCGATACTTTGAAGTATCGATACTTTTGTTTCGATACTTTTACGAGTACGATACTTTTTTACCGATACTACTCATGAGTACAGTATCGATACTTTCTATTCGATATCGTGTCCCTAGTACTAGGTTGTATTATACGGGGGTACCAACTATTATAGTTCTAAAATTAAAACGTTTTACAACAATGATTTTACATGTTTTTTTTAAGTAAATGGTAGGATAAGGCCTGTAATTTTTATTATGTATTATGGAACACACATCCCTGTATCTGGAGGTGGGCGCTAATAGCCGTAATACAGTTCTAAAAAAACCTAATTATACATGTAACTTTATTTTTTAATTCCAATAAATATATTTTCATTTTCAATATTAAATATTGTTTTGGTTTGTCATTTGTGTGGTGACCTCCGTGGCCGAGTGGTTTGTACGCCGGGTTTCATGGCTGTCACCGACTCGAGAGGTCCCGGGTTCAAATCCCGGTGGGGGCAGATGTTTGTGTGATGAATACGAGCATTTGTACTCCAGTCATGGATGTTTAACATGTATTTATATAAATATACTTATATATGTACAGTATATGTATTCTATCCGTTACCCTAGCATCCCATAACACAAGCCTTATAGTGCTTACTTTGGGGCTAGGCTAATTGGTGTGAGTGTCGGAAATATTTATTTATTTCAATTCAAGGCAAGAAAGGATGGAATAGTAGGCTTAGTGCTGATAATTGAAAATTGTTTTTAAGTACCAATACTGTTGCACAAGGTCATACGGTGTACTCTAGTGACCTATTTTATGTAGTATATTGATGATCAATGTTATTTGCACAAGTGGACTTGTGCTATTTGGTTAATGTTGTTCATTGTCAACTTGTTCATTTTGTTTTGAAAATTGTTTCTTGCTATTTTGGGACTTATCTTTGCACTTATTGTTAATAAATTCATTGATTGTTACATATTTGACATTATGTGATGGAAGTTGACCTCAACACATGTTTGCAAGTTTGATGTCAACTTTCAATTGGACGACACTGTATGAAATAAAACAGGGAGAAAAAAGCTGCCCTTGCTGAGTTTCTTGCCGGTTCTTCTCAGTACAAGGTCTCCCGCCGTAGTTTTGCGAACCGATGGCGTAGCTTTTCGACATTCACAAGTGCTTGTAACAGCCTAGACTGAATAAACGATATTGAATTTTTTTTTTTTTTTGAATGGAAGAACAATAAGTAAAATATATAATTTTGTATTGTTTCATATAAAGAAAATATAACTAGAAAAAATACCAAGCGGACCAGGCAGCAGACCGGACTCGAACCCGCACCCTTCGCAATCCGGGCGAATAGACTGACCATTTATGCTACCGCGACCCTCACGGACTGCGTCGAATTTCCTCTAGCCATTTTTAAGCTGCAAGGCAGCGCCATCTCTTTGCCTATAATTGGTCAGTGCATTCACCCGGATTGCGAAGGGTGCGGGTTCGAGTCCGGTCTGCTGCCTGGTCCGCTTGGTATTTTTTCTAGTTATATTTTCTTTAGATTTAAACATCAAGCAGTTACATGTTTAAATAAAAATTATAACTTGTTTCATATGTTATTTTCTCTATAATCTAATTTTACCATAACACTCATAATCATAAAAAAACATTTTTAGCAAGCAGTGAAGCAGCGGCTGGGGAATCTGAGACGTTTTGGCAGTGAAAGCAGCCTTCCTGGTCTCCGTCGCTCAAACAGCTTCGGGAACTTAAGCCAGAGTAGCTTCAAGAGCAGGCTCAATTGGAGGCAGTCTAATGGCAATTTGAGGTATAATAGAATCTTTTTAATTTTTCAATGTGTTTTATTTAACATTGCATTTTGCTTTTAGTATAACTGGTATGAATATAAACTAGAACAATTTTTCGCGATTCATTAATACTATGGGCAGTGCCGTCTTTGACCTATTGGAGGCACTAGGCCAGCGTGGTGGATCATGGCCCAATCTCCCTATTCCATCCATAGGGAAGGCCTCTGCCCCAGCAGTGGGGACATTAATAAGCTGCTGCTGAATACTCTCCATTCTGTTTTGATGTAGTTGTAGAACTTTTCTTTGCTTATCTGTTAAAGCCCATGTCTGGCAGCCACATGACATGCATAAGTATTAAATAATTTCTTTTCATCTGTCACTGCGAACTTTGGATTTTTAATTACTTCTTCGAGCGACCAATATCTTTATTTCTTTACTTATTTCCAATATTTATATACATTATATACAAATGTATATAAAATAAATACTTTATTGATTAAATTAGCTTAATTCATGCATGATTTTTTAAAGTATAAAATTAAACTATTGAGCAGATACAGGAAAAAAAAGACTGCTGGACCTCATTGCTTAGAAACCGACTGCCTTTTCTTTTCTCTGTCTTCAAATGGCAGAGCTGTATTGTTGTCCTTTTCTTTATTACAAACTAAACTATGATTTTTGTGAAGAATATTGCTTTTATAGTTTTACGAATTAAGAGTGTTGCTGTGGAATTCGTAATAACATCTTAGTGTTCTTTTTAAAAGCATCGAAGGCATTGTCTTATCTTTGTAACACAGAATATACGCAATATTGTTATAATGAGTGCAAATGCAGCGTGTTTGGATGTCAAATTGTGACTAAAGCGAATTGTGTTCATGGACCACAATTCAAGCGGTACACTTTTGAGCCGCGAGTGTTGAATCATGCCGTTTCGTTTTAGTCTAAGGATAGTAACCATAAGTATATCGTATGCATGTACGTTTATAATTTTGGCAGTAGGGCGGCATCATTCGGCAACTTGTCGACGGGCGCGTGGCGCGGGCTGTGGCGTCGAGGAGGGTCGCCACGGATACTGAGGGGACGGTTCAGGTAATGCATTAATTTATTTACTTATACTTAATGCACAAGTGTACAAAGGCAACCATAGGGTGTTGTGGATAAATAGTAGTAGGGTGCACAACTTAGATGGAAAAAAAGACGAACAGTTATAAATACGAAGTAGTCATATACATAAATAAGTACTTACATATAAGTAACCACACATTACATTAAGTGCATAGATTTAGAAGCATCGCTTCCTTGTAATGACAAAGGTTTATGGCATGGTCTAATTTAAAATTTGCTATAGTATATTTGAAAGAAATTAAATTAAGAGGCCGACAGCCATCTGCACAGAAAAGTTATGTCTTTGAAATTTTTAAGATTAATGTGTAAATAAATTATATTACAAGATTCACATATCATTTAAAATTACGCCGTGAAGTGACATTTTTGTTCCTCTTGTCGCTTCCAAAAAGGCAGCAAAGGAATCACAACAGAAAAAGCCTTGTTAAGTCAAAAAAAAATAAAAAAGCACATGGACTAGCAAAAACGATCTATGGAAAAGGCGAACGAGTGAGACAACCTTATCAGAGGCTTTCTATCTCTCTTCAACCAAAAAAAACTCATGTGACAGAACCAAGTCTTGGTCAAGTTATGAGCATTTGCTTACATACTATCGTGGCTCGCCTGTCCCCACCACAACGCCCTTCTAATCTCTTTCTGTGCTCTGTGGTTTCACAAAAAAAAGTAAGTATCAAAATCCGTCCACGCATCTCGGCGATATGCACGAACTACAATAAAAAGAATATACTGATCAATTGTCAACCTGCCATCTTATTTGAAATCAGTTAAAAATAGTACGGAGCTCTATGGCGCGGGTGGTTATCGCGTTCGGCTGCGATCGTTGAAGTTAAACAACTTTCGCAGTGGTCATTCGTTGGATGGGTGACCAAAAATTATCTATCTCGAGTTCGTCCGTGTTTCGGAAGGCACGTTAAGCCGTCGGTCCCGGCTGCATCTGGAGTCGTTAGCACCCACCAATCCGCACTGGGCCCGCGTGATGGGTCATGGATGGCCCAATCTCCCCTATTTCATCCATAGGGAAGGCCTGTGCCCCAGCAGTGGGGACATAAATAGGCTGATGATAAACATAAGTAAATAAGATAAACAACAGTAAATGATCTCCATCAAAAATACAACTATTAATCTGAACATAGTTGTACTAATTTTGCCGATTATTAAAATATTGTCCGTATATTTGTAGGGGCGGTCGTCAGCCATCAGGGCGTATTACCCGCGTCCCGCAGCGGGGACACCGGGGACGCAGTCGAGGCCGCGCGCGGGGACAACGGGCACAGCCGCGGGGACAGCGGGGCGGCGCTACGGGACAGCGGGGACAGCGGGGCGGCGCCAGGGGAGGGAACAGAGGAGCCAATACGGGGCAGGCGCCGAGAAGGGGTGAGTTTTTGATTTTTCGAATCCTTCAATCGTTTTTTTTTCAGGTTGAGGAACGAGAAACAAATTAGAAATGATATGGAGGCATTACTTTCTAACAAACTCCGTTAAAACATGGTTCCAAACTAATAAATGTGACACGCACACAGACAAAACAAAATAGTTTGTAAAATCAATTAACTGCAATTGAATTCAGGTATCTATTCATTCTTAGGCCCGTATTGCAGAATGACAACTAAGTTGATCTTTACTTGAGTACATTTAGAAAGGGATGTCGCTATGTGCTATATATAGCGACATCCCTTTCTAACTATGCTCGAGACTAGATCAAACAATGAGAATCTTTCTATAATACAGGCATTAGAGTAATTTATTGGGTAAGATCGTGTTAAACGGAAATCCCGACCAATCGCGCGCCTATTTGATCGCAGTTTGTGTGCAACACTATGAAACCCGGCGTACAAACCACTCGGCCACAGAGGTCGTTAAAACCTAACCTCTCTTTTATAGTTTTACAGCTGTCTGTGTATTGTACAGGTCGCAGCCAAAGCCAGAAACCAGTACCGAGTCGTGAAGAATTAGACTTACAATTGGAACAATACATGGCCGGCACTCGAGCCGCCCTCGACCGAGACTTAGATCAATACATGAACAACGCTATGCAAGTCGAGGAAGAATCTTGGGATTGATTGATTGGTTTCAGAAGAAACGACCACAAACGAAACTGCAGTACATAGCGACCACAACTACTACATAAACCGCTTATGGACCAATGAACAACCATCGAGACAAGTTATGGCATCCACAACACGGTATCCGGATCAAGAAAGTTTACGGATCAACAAAAAACAAAAATCAAAAATCAACAGTGACAGTGTTTATACTGCTGAATAAGTGTCTTTTGTGTCGAAACAGTGCTTAGTTATTAGATAAAGTGATATTAATATTACCTTCAAACATCGACAATACTGCAGTTTTAAGACTTTTGTATTGAGCGTTTATCAGTACATGAATAATGTCAGAGACTTCAAATATGAATAATTATGGGTTCACGGTTTAATATGCTTCATTATGGCTACTTATCTGATAGTGATCACAGACCATTAAGATTATTACAGGATGAGCTGGCGAACGAAACGGTATTTTTGTTTTTTCTTTTTATTAATTGTAATTTGCGATCAGTGCGTGCCAATATAAGCAACTGTGTTGGATTAACATTGGAAATTGAAACGGTATAATTACGTAAAATTAAATTATACAGGAGCTGTATAAAACTGAATGACATACCTGCAGTAAGCTTTTGGCATTGTTATTGCTTTATTGATTATAATAAAATTAGTTATTTTAACACTGTTTTAGGCGGTTTTGATTGTTTAAAATTATTGAGCTTCAAATTCTTGGCAGAATTTTCACGTAATGAGATGCAGCCATATTCACCAAAAATTGAATTGAGAATCAAATTCAACGGGCCCGTAACAACAAACAGATTCAGAATTATACTGTTTTGTAAGCCAGCTCCTCAGTTTATATATCCAGACTTGTGTGTTGTGTGTAGTCAACACATAAAAAGACAGGAATTTAAGTATAATATGTCCCTAATAGGCTATTTGACAGAATGAAAATTAAAGTACCAATAGGGTAGTTGACAAGTTTTAGAAAACGATCTCACGTTATTTACTAATATTTATGGAGTCCATAAAAAGTGGATACACATCATTCTGTCAATAAAAAAATCTAAATAAATAAATCCATTTTCAAGTTGCTGTGAAAACGTGTCACATGACTGTCATTTAAACATCAAATGATACAAAGTAATGTCACTTTGACCGGAGTGTTACTAGCTGTTTGTACCTGTTGCTAGCTGTGTTATTTGAACAATTTAAATATATAATAATAATTTTGTCTGTACAATGTTGACGCACAAACACACAAGTATGGTAGGAAATGTGAACCAAAATTAATGTTATAATGGTTATTTTCACACAAGCATTTAGTAAGAAGCTGAAAGACTATGGGATATTAACCAATATAAGTACTATGTTAAGTCAAAGTGAAAGATATTTTTTGCTCTGCTAGTCTTATTAGATAAAGAAAGAGTAATTTAACGTAATAATAATAACGTGTTGTAATAGATTCATGATTAAATAAGAGTTGCTATTTTTGTACCATCAGAGAACACTATAAAATTGTTGCCTATATTGAATTGAATACAAAAAAAAGTATGTGTTTAATATAGTTTGAAATTACTCGATTTTAATAACAAAAATTGAGGCTGTCAATATAAAAGAATTATTCATATTCTGATTCATCTTCTACAATGAAATAAAAATGTGTTAAAATTTAATTCAAAATCGTCTTTCAATTCAAGCGTCAATAGATGCCGTTGCAAAAGTTAATTTTACATTGATTTTTTTCTCTCAACCTAAACCTCAGAAGTGGCCTAAGCCGCTTAATCAGAATATTATTAATTGAGGGTTAGGCCACTTTTGCACTGACCGCCTCAATTATTAGTGGAAGGTAAAGTATTGACAATCTAGCTTGACATCTCGGTCGTATGGATATTCTCTAGTAAATTTTCTGTAGATATACAAATTTTCTTAAGCTTCATATTGTTGTAATTAATGATATATTGCATTCAATGCTTGTCGTTTAACCATTGTGATTATAAACAGAAGACTTTAAATGAACCTTTATCTGCTTTGCTTGATTAAATTATTGGTGTTAAGTTTAGTAAACTGGACATCTAACAAGGATTTCTGACTGACTTACTAATCAGGCGATAAAAGATTTGTGAAACTATAGCACGAACTATTAACGAAATCGAATAGTTTGCGAGTCCGAAATGTCATTGTCAAATTTTGTATGAAAACTTGAACAGCAGCGCCACAACGTACGTAACGAGAACTAAAAATCAGAACAAATTTCACAATGACATTTTGTACTCGCAAACGATACGAATTCGATATGGGTTCATGCTAAGGGTACAGGTTATTTAATTCCTCAGTTACAATAACAAAAAATAATGGACACGTATTTATTTATTTGCGTCAATCAAACAGAAAATTACGAAGACAAAGCGCGTCACTTTGCGGAGCAGGGGCTCGTGACGTCACTTCCAAGTAAACATTGTACCAAGACATGACGTGATGCGACATGTCAAATCGATTTTCGATAAAATACATTTCAAGTAGTTTTTGAAAATTTACTTGACAAGTGAAAAAGTTAGCCAACATATTTTGGCTGTTCAAGTTACCATACAAACTTTTGACATTGACATTTCGCACTCGCAAACTATTCGAATTCGATAATGGTTCGTGCTACGGGTACAGTTTTATTTGACCGCTGTATAAGAACGCTTGGCCATTCTCTATATCTCTGCGTACGTATTTAAAAATGTCTCGTTTATTAGAAAAAAGTTTATTTATGACCTACATAAAGAGTCCTTCACAGCTGTCGAAAATCCAATAGATTTTCAACCTTAGTGTTGTAAATCAAAGTTCATAATCGAATAAAGGATTTTGGCAATTTGAAATGCCCCACGCTGGCAGCTTTTGTACAAAGTATTTACAAAAAAGACTTGGAATTATTTACAGGCATTAAACATCAGTTTTCGATAAATATAGCGGTCAAAGTAATTTTATTTTTCGTGCACTCTTTAGCTTAATTGTTATTATTAAGTATGAAAGCTCGAAATATTCTTCAATATTTTTAAGTTTTTCTTGTAGAATATAGTTCGAATTCCATTGATGGAATTATAGCTTTCAAGTTTTTTTTACATAAAACCAAACTCGACGAAGTGCGCGCCCATAAGTGAACTCTATTATAAGTCAGGTAACGTTTATTTTGTATTGATAAAGATATTCGTTTGACGATTGAATACAGAAACGAAATGTCTGCTCTATGGTCAATGTAATGACTAAGTTTCGAGTTAACTTTAAAAATCTTGCGTCCAATTGCAAGTACCTTTTGTTATTACTTCTACGTAATAATATTTTGTTTGTTGTCTACTTTAGTTTTAAGAAAACTGAGACATAATTTTCTAAAGTTGTGTAAATATAAATAATTGTTAAGATAAAGAGCTAAGGAAGACAGTTGATTGTTCAAATGAAAAGATGATTTCTAAGATGTGTTTTTATTTTTTATCCTACCCGCTATTATATACCTACATCCTTAGATTAAAACAAAAAAGGGAAGATACGGCACTCGCGGCTCAAATGTGATCCCAACGATATTAAATACCCTAAATACACCAACACGAACAAAATCGTGGCCGAATCCGGTCCAAAAGGTACATTGAAGGATCCACGGAGCTCTGTAAGATGATCGCGTAGTTAAAATCAATATAAGGCATTATTTAAATATTGAAAGTAACCTTTAATACATACTGCATAAGGTCTCTGAAATGCAATCTCGTAGAGGAGATTGACAGACATGTTTGGCCTAAAGACCAATAATCATGAAAGTTGTTTCCTAGATTCGAATTCATATATAAATTACTGCAGAAACGAATATTATTGACGGACACCCCTGAGAACTTCTATAAACCATATACACTGAACATATTAAAATAATAAAAAACAAATAAGTTATATAGTAAACTAGGGAAATCAAGCCAAGTACCGAAATTATGGATTAGATTCAGGTATATAGAGCATGTAGATTAACAAATAGTTGCCTGTTTTTAAAGTTAATGCATAAGAGTAACTTTTAAAATCAGGTGTCGTTTCCGGTTATAATAAGGTAATTTGTGATAGAAACTGTGTGATGATTGTGAATGAGCCACAGATTAGAGAGAATTTGTAAACTCTCGTTAACCAAAGAAAGCTAAGAGATTTAGGTTCTATAGCCATATATTCAGTAGCTTAATTATTTTTGTTATGTTTTTAAGATAACGATATTTTAGATTTTTAGTGTATCACACCTTATAATTTTATTTATTTAATTTATAGTCAGGGAACGTAGGCCCATAGATAGATACCTTAAAGTCTAACATATATACAGATTATAATGTGTTTATGGAGGTGTTTGGCAAAAAATGTATGGCAATAGACTTTATGATGTCGCCTACCATCTATAATAATTGTCTAAGCACATTTGCATCTAGTGAAAATGATAATATAATTGTGGATATTAATACCACAGTGTAATAAAAAAATGATTTATTTTATCGATCTTTACAAAAAAGATTTTTTTTTATGTTATTTAAACAACTTCGATCAGTCTTTGGCTGAATGTTACTACACCCATAGCCAATTTCCAAACCGGTAAAATTATAAGTCCTTTTTAAGTAAATATATTATACAAAGGCGTCCGTTGAAATCTAATGACTGTAAATTAAATTATAAATTACGCCAAGAATTACCGTGTATGTCAATATTTTTTGTGCATTTGGGCCAATTTGAGCAATCTCCTTTTACGACTTATTGCTAAGTATATGCGTAAGAATTTAGACCTTAGTTCTTTGACTCTACGCGCAATTATGAGCGCGCTGTTAGCAATATAGCAGGCACGGACCGCGACGAAAAGAGACGGCTATATGGCGACGTATAACTGACCATGCATTTGAATATCACAAAATATATTTTGTATTAAATCAGTTTATAGTAAGTATTACATCAAAATTTACTTCAAATGCGTTAAATTAACAAACATTGACTAGATACCTGTCGAAAAAACGATACTTCGTTGTTGAAGTAAATGTTAATGGCATTTCGTACTCGCAAACAATACGAATTCGATATTGAATCGTGCTAAGGATACTGGCCATAATAATTAATGTATATAGTTAAACAGAACGACATTTTATGAAATGGAAAAACGCGAATATTTTTATTAATTACAATTCAATTTCATTTCGTGTTCTTCATGGCCGCCTCTGCTTCTTACACAAATTCTCATTTTTCTTCGGCGACTTTTCTTCGTCTTTTCTTGTAACCATGTATATGGTAATGGAGTGCAGTCCTACCAACTCTTACCTATTTTTTCCCCTAAGTATTTTTTAAATTGCCCTAAATATACAATTTTTTAAGTACCTACTTATTACCCAAATTCTTTTGTTGCTTATAAATTAAAACGTTACATATTTAGTTACAGTGCATTATTTTATTGAATAAATAGTTTCCGAAAGGACAATCAAACGAAAATGAGCTGACAGGCTGTTAAATCTTATTTACCTGTTTTTTATCTTTAGTCCATACAGCCTTAGGAAACAACCCGCCACATAGTCAGTTCAGTCGTTTCATATCGTGCTGCGTTCCATTCTACGCACAAAACTGAAAGAAAACACACGCTTTGTTTTTCGATTTAATTGCAAGTTTTGATAAAAGCCCCTAAAAAAGTCCGTTTTAACACTTCTAGCCCCTAAATCTGGGGGCAAAACCCCTAAGTTGGAATCCGTGATGGAGTGATGTATCGCTATCAGGATTGCTGCGGATGCAAAAGACGGCGTATGCGGTTTTCAGGATATATATAAAGATATTTCAAGTTAAATAAAACAAGTTTCAACGGGTTACATGCACATGAGTTTATTTATTTATTGACGTTTCGCATCCTTTGCTGGAAAGCGTCGCCGCGTCGTCGGAATAATGATTTCTTATTTACTTTGCCGAGCTACCTTCGAAAGACTTATTGAGCGTTCCGATATTTAATTGGAAGATTTTTAAAACC